GGCGAGACAAGGAATGAATCTCGACGAACATCTGCAACCTGATAGAGGAGAAGAAGATGAAGTGGAAGAAAAACCAGTGCAAGGATGAACAACGGAAAGAGGAACTGAACACAACTTATAAAACACTGGACAAAGAAGTGAAGAAGAGTGCACGGAAAGTTAAAAGACGCTTCGACGACACACTGGAAAGTGAAGCAGAACGTGCCGATGGCAGGAGAGACCAGATGGCACCATATCAAATAACCAGGTTACTATCTGGGAAGAGATTAACACAAATGAAACCAATGAAAGACAGTGAAGGAAGCCTAGTTAACAAAAAGGGAAACGATGAGTCGACCGCTTCAAAAAACTCCTGAATCGACCACCACGACTCGTCCAGAAATACTGCCAGCAGCCCGGCCAAAGAATTACCATCGAAAACAAGACCTCCCACGAAAGCGGAAGTCCAGAGCGCCATAAAGCTGCTGAAAGCAGCGGGACCAGATGGAATCGTGCCAGAAATATTGAAAACAGACGCAGAGAAGACAGCGGACATGCTCATATCACTACTGTGGAAGGTTTGGAAAGGAGGGAAAGTACCTGCTAAGTGAAAGAATCGTTACCCTGTCAATATTCAAAAGAAGGGCGGCCTAGGTCTTTACAAGAATTCGCGAGGAATCATGCAGCTGTCCACACCAAGCAAATATTATGCGACATCATCCTAGAGAGGTCAAAAAGTGCTCTGTATTCAAAATTACAACCGGAACAGGCTGGATTCAAAAAGTACAAATCATGTGCGAATCATACCGCAATGCTACGCTACGTATCATCATAGAACAGGGTATAGCGTGGTAGTTAACTCTCTACCTCAACTTCATCGATTTTGAAAAAGCCTTTGACAGCGTCGACAGAGAAGTAATCTGGCAGGCAGCTGCTTTAACACTACGGTTTTAGTGCTACAAACCTTTATCAATCTCATTCGACGGCTATATGAAGACGCCACATGCCAAGTGGTTCAAAATGGAAAGTTCAGTGACGCCTTTAAGTTAAACACAGGAGTAAGACAAGGCTGCTTACTAACTATCACCTGATTGTGGTGGACTGGACTGCACCATGCAGCAAACCGTGAGGAGCGAGAAGGGGCACACGCTGGGTGCACCGACAAAAGGTCTGGATTTCACCGATAACGATTTGTGTCTAATGATGCACAAACTTGAAGATCTACAGATGAAAACTGACAAGTTGACAGAAGAGGCAGCGAAGGCGGCACTTCAAGTGAACGCAGAGAAGACGGAAGCGACGATGACACCCAACCAACAACAACAATAAACACCAGTCACCATAGACGGGAGAAACCTAAAGGAAGTTGTCTCTTTCACCAACCGCCTAGGCAAAGCAGCTTCGTTTCAACTACGGGCGAAGTGTCAAGCTTGGGCATCAGCCGTCAAGTGCTCTCCTGGCCGCAGGACTATTTAGACGCAAAGAATTCTGTACGAAATTCAACGAGCCTAGCCTGACCCTGGGGACACCGTCATCTGGTGTATCACAAGGACCTATTCTGGGTCCACTTCTATCCCTTCTTCTTTTGAATGACCTCCTATTGAGTCTCAGTTCCACATTTTACCTTACGCTGAAGATGTTAAGTTGTTGAGAGCTATGACATAATGGCATAATCAAGCGCAATGCGAAGTGATCCCATTTTGCTTGCAAAGTCAGTGAATAAAAACATCGGGTTGATACCGGCTTGTAAGCCAAACATTAGCTCCAGCTATCCAGGAGATGCATACAGTGCCTACGCAGTGCTGTACTTCATGTGCAGACAGCTAGGCGATCTCATCCTGGAACTCTTCGTGAAGCTGCACAAGACCTACATACAACCTCACTTAGAAGTCCACAACGTTACTGCACCATCACACCTGAAAGAAATATAAACCTCCTGGAGAAAGACCTTAGGCAAACAATATAGAGTGTTGTGGTAATGCGGCAAATTCTCCGTGAGGACAGGCTTGAAGATCTAGAGCTTTACTCTCTTAGCTACTATAGGTTACGTGGTGACATGATAACAGAGTACAAAATATTAAGTAATCCAAGTCATCCGAACAGCGGAATCCTGCCGAGCGGCCACTGTGACAGTCCTCGTGATAAACCAAAGAGAATTCCCCAGCAAAGGGTGAAACTCACTTAATTTCACTCTGCAAGTTTTCAGCAACTGAAAAGCATTTCCTGCCGAAATTGCTACCGCTCCTCTTGTCGACAACTTCGAGAAGAGGTTAGACAGCTACACGACGACACATGAGTTGCCTTCACACAGCGAGGATGCAGACCAGGTTGCTTCAACCTGTTAATTCTGTCCAGCCCACTACGGTCAACCCCATACCGAATCTCTTGCGAAACTGACTCAACCTTATATTTCCCTGTAGACGTCTCCTCCAGTTACCATCCCCTACTAATGCAGCGCTATTCATACTCCCATAATTCGTCCAATAATATTACTTGCTCCTTCTCTTTCCGCTGACTCTATGATCTCAGAATATTTATTGAGGCTTCCCCCATCACTTACCTCCCAGGGATCAGTCCTGGTTTTTCCTTTCATTTCATCCGGCTTCCTCCCACCTCGTTTTTTTGATTCTTAGCATTTCTTTTCCCTTAATTTTCTTGGACGCCTTTTTCATCTTTTTTTTTACAGCCAGTCCAAACAGTTTCCTGGTGACATGGCCTTCGAGGAACCTATCTGCACCACGGTCCTTGAAAAAATCATGCAAACAGATTTAATCAACAGCCAACCATCCAGAGATACAACGAGTGAACAGGTAGACTTATTGCATTGAAATCCACCGAAGACCTTGAGTCTTTCAGCAAGATCTGGAATTGAGCGCGAAGAAATCACTTGGTTGACACTAACCCTAAAAAAACATTGGATATTGGATTTTGGAAGTTTGGACGAATTCTGTGTGGCACTTTCAACGTTGAACGTCACTGGGTATGTTATTGTTCCTCGGGTATAAGGTCACAATCTATTATCAGTGTAGAGCTTCTCAAATGTCTTGCTGAAAAACACTGAATCAATTCAATTTAAAAAGAGTAGGACCTCCATATAGTCAAATTGTGATGCCATTTGCTCCATAGTTGGGCAAAATAATCAATATGTACCCAGCCATCTCTATAAAGCCAGAAGTCTGTGAACTTCATTCGACCTTGGTACTACATCTGTAGTATTAGGAAATGGTCTTCATATGAAAATTTTCCACATTTTGTCTGGATTTAAAGAGGTTTCGAGAATACAGATGTTATTAGTTGATGCGAACCACTCTCCTCCGTTTCTCGTAATACTCACTTAGAGTCTCCGATCACCGGTCTCGTTTGTTACGCTTACTTCAATCGGAAGTCTAAATTCCCCTACATGGCTCAGATTGGTCATTTTTTTTTAGTTTGACCGCCTCTAACTTTTCAGCCTAGGCCTACTCCAGCCAAAACCGCGTGATAAGACGGACAGTGACTCGTCATACGAAATATATCCTAACCATCTGGGTTGACGGAAGTGTGCAGCTTCATCAACTGACTTGCTTATTTCGCCCAGAAACTATGCGTGGTTTCTGCATCACAGTCATGACGTCGAACATAGAGAAGCGCAACGCAGTATACTCAACTCTTAGTCGGTAAAAGTATGTTTGGAGGGAATAAACAAGGGAAAAGTAGTACAATGTTCAAAATTTCTAAAATAATAGTTGAACATACTTGCATTTTTGTGGTTAATTTTGACCCGGGTCTCCAAGTCTTCAGCAGTTAATTTCTGACATCTTAGAACTCAAACCGAGTAGCCTACATTTCCCTACACAGTTTGAAGCAGCATTCGGAAAATGCATAGTCTGATGCTATGTCTTAGTCTAATCACCTGTAACTTTTTCAGTATGTGAAACTGCCGACGATGTAGGACATTTAAATAAATCAGGGTACGCGTTGAGTAGAAATCTGAGTATGTTCGACTGACATGCTTTTCGCACTTGTCTAATGTAAGATGATGCTCCAGGACTGGTCTACAACCACTCTCAATTTAATGATAAAGAGTGAAGTGGTAAAGTGTGTTGACCACTTCATTTACTTGGTTGGTTGCCCCAGCCCGAACACGCTGGTTGCTGACGGAATCTCAGCTCTTATACAGAAGACCCGCCTGGCATTCGCCAATTTGCGTCATCTTTGGTGCGGACTGGTGAGATGTCCGACTATGCATTAAAGGTAGAGTATACTGCGCTGCAGTCTGTTCTGTTATGCGGCTGAGACGGCCGTTAAAAGTTGAAGACACAAAACGGGTACAGGCTTTTGGTCATAAGTGTTTCCGTAACATTACTCTCTCTTGATAAGAATTACCGTACGAACAATGCTGTGGTCAGGTGGAGGGTACCGCGCAAGAAAGGCAAGTCGATTGATAAGGTTGTAGACCTTCATTGGCTAGTGTAGCATGGACATGTGTTGCTCATACCACCACCTTCTACCTCGACGTACCATGCTAGGGGATGTTGAGTTAGGTTGGGAGGAGATTCAGGGTCGTCATACTAAGACATGGCTCTAGTTGATAAAGTCTCTTACCGTTGATCTGATTCGTGTTAGGAGATTTGAACTGCCTGGTCGGGGTCCCGAAGACGAAAGGAATCAGTAGTTGAGAACTCTTGGTTGCATGGCTGAAAATCGGTCACGGTGGTGCAGATGTATTGATTTATTGTCGTCTTCTAAAGCTTGAATATTTGCATACACTTTTGTCTTCAGGTTGTTTATTCTCTCTTAGAACTTTGTCTACTTTGATATCATGCTTCTTCTATCCACCTATTCTTTTTGTACCACTGTGAAGTATGGCAACTTGAACTGATGTGTCTGTGTACGAGGTTCCACATTGGCTTTGTCTTTCATGTCTTGTGAAGTATGCCCACTCAGACCGCTATGGAATCACTTTGAGTTCCATATTATGTATGCATGTCCAGTGACTGTTTAACAGCTCAAATCTTATTGCTTTTTGTTGTTTGTAGATAATGGCTTATAAGTCTAGACATCATATTGAAGTGAGCTCAGTTGCACTGGTAGATCTGAAAGCGGAAATATCACGAAGGCAAATTGAAATCAAACAGAAAGTTGAAAAACATCCAGATGGATGTAATGTTATTAGGAATCGTTCTGCCGAATTAAAACCTGGCAAGTTATCACTTTGGAAAACTTCCAAGGAGAAAATTTTGGAAGAACGTAAAAAATTAGAGGCTGAAAATGTTCCATCAGACTCTGAAGAATATGCAGAATGGCAGAAAAGTAAAAGGTCATTGGAAGCTAAGGCAAAACTATACGATGCTCTGAGAGAAGCTGCAATGTCTGGAAAAAAGCATAAATTATCAAATACAAGTGAAAATAATGAAGATATTTTGGTTGATTTTGAGCAAAAAGCAACAGAAAATGTGTACTCAGTTCCTCCAGCCTCTCCTACACGATCGTGTTCTTCATACAGTAGTGACGAAGATCATACTAATTATCCTGCCGATTGTAGTGATGAAGAATGGGCAGATTATATCGATGAGAAGGGTGTTAAACGAGTTTGTATGCGCAAAGACTTATCAAAGCATATAGAACAGTCTAGTCCGCCTAAGCCAGATGGTCCACTGACTTATGCTCATTTAAGAGAAGGAGAGATACGAGATCATGGTGTCGGATTTTACGCCTTTTCTGCAGATGCTGAACAGAGAGAAGCTGAAATGAACCGCTTACGGGAACTCCATAGGGCTACTGAAGAAGGTCGTGCTCGAGCTGAAGCAATACGAGCCAAAAGAGACGCTAAAATGGGCCAACGACTTGCTCGTTTACGTGCTCGTAAAGGCTTGCCGGATGTAGCAACGGCTGCAGCACAGTGCTTGGGTGAGACTACAGTCCCAGCAACACCTACTCCACTAGGTGCAGATGCTCAATCTGATATACGTTTAAGTAACGATGATCTAGATGTTGCCTCCATGTTGCGTAGATTGCGTGATGAAGCTGAGCATAGAGCTGCTGTTAACAGTAAATTAAGTGAGTCGGTGAATATTACCACTTCTGCTAAGGAACCTGAGCACAGAACAAATCTAGCGGATGTCTTAGCTTCTCAAGATCCAAGTCGTTCTTCTCATAGTAGTAAGCAAAGAGAATGGGATCGAGGAAAATCAATGGTTTCAGCTCAACGTTATATTCAAGAAGAACGGGATAAACGGCATTCAGACTTTGCTCCTCCATCTTATTATTGAAATTTAACCTAACTTTTGTACATACGTAAACTTATTATCTTGTTTCTCAATGAAAATAAAATTTTTCTTAGCTATCATTTTATTTTTGAAGTTATCCACTTGGATTTGTCTGCGTGTGTGTATGTTTTATGTGTATATTTATGTGGATAGATGGATGAATTCCACTTTAATTTGAAGCAAACTACTATTTACCATTGAAATACTTATTTGAATCGATTCTCATCAAAAGTATAGAAGTACTGAACAAATGTTTTACTAATTTTTTCGTTTTTTGTCAATAAAATTGCCTTAGGGGTGTATTCATCATGTGTCTATATAGTATATGGTTATTTCGTTAGTATATTTCATGAGGCAGATGTTATTACTGAATACACTACTGCAAGAATAGTGTGGAATCTAATCCGGTTGCGTAATGAAACTAAAAAAGAGTTATAAAGGAAAGTATTTCTGTAAATAAAATGAAAAATATTCTATGAACAATATATGTAAGATACTTTGATTGCTAATCAGCATGAAACTTAAATCAACCAGGTCTTTCTGCCGATCGCTTTCATCAAACTGACATCAATCGTAGTCCACTGTCAGCATCAAGATCAACATATGACCAGGCATTACTGCTTAACTGTCCAAGTTCCCAGCCACACCTCATATCAACACATCAAGTAACAAGGCAATAAAATAGGAGATGATGAAGTTAAGTATAGCGGTTAATGTGAGGATATCGTCTGTATACATCTGCGCCACTGATATCGGTTCTGAACCATATCACACAGAATCTCCAACCACCAGTTCCTCTTGTCCCGCGAACCCCAAACAGTTGGTCTGCGTTGCTTTACGTGGCTCAAACCAACAGTGAAGGACTTCATGGGTTGATGTCATGTTTTAGTCTGGCCACCTGGAGCATTCTTTCATCCTGAACTTGTTTCGGCCAATATTGCGCGATGAAGCAGACGGTGGCTAGACATACGCAACACATGTCCCAGTCAGCCATCTCAGTCGATGAAGGTTAACAACAGCATCAACTGTCTTACCTCTCCTGCCTAAAAATCTACGTATGACTTCTGGGTTACTCACGTAGTGACTCCACAAAACAGGAAACGGGTGTTAATGGAACAATCACTTATATACGTGGAGATATTTGAAAATACATCTTAGTGTTTGCCACGATTTGAGAATGTTTGGGATGCGTTTCCCACCACCCAAATGCAAATCGTTGCTCCAGAATTGGTCTTCAACGGTCTTATGGCTGACAATAGAGAGTGTAGTGGTTGAGTGTGTCAACCACTTCACGTACCTGGGAAGTAGGATCATCCCTGGTGGCTGGCTGGTCGGTGAAATTTCTACACGAATATAAAAGGCTCTGCTGGCTTTTGCCAGTTTACGCCACCTATGGCGCCGCCGTGGTATCCATGTGTCTATTAAGGGTTGCGTGTACTGCACAGCAGTCCTCTCTGTTCTACTCTATGGCTGTGAAATATAGCCATTGAAGGTGGAAGAAATGAGAAGGCTGGCTTCAAGTGTTTGGCCACCTTTGCCTTCGTAGTATAGGCTGTATTCCATGGTGTCACCACATGAGTAATGCAGAAGTCAGGTATAGAGTTTTAGGGAGAAGAGGTAAGTCGGTTGACACAGTTGTCAACCTTCGTCGACTGAGATGGTTAGGGCACGTACTAAGCTTGCCTAGTCACCGATTGCCTCATCATACAATGTTGACAGAAGTAGGTCCAGGCTGGAGAAAGGCCCGAGGTCGCACCAATTTATGAAGTCTCTGACTGTTGGTTTGAGCGATGTGGGGCGATGCAGACTGGGTGGTTGCAGTCCACGGGACAAGAGTAACCAGTGGTTGGAGACTCTAAGTGATCACATGGTTGAGAACGGATGTCAGTGGTGCCTTTTTACCTGATGTAATGATATGAGGTGTAGCAACTCGGACCGTAATGCCTGGTCCTATGTTGATAATGATGGTGATGAGTGTTTACCACGTAATTGTGATCAAATACTTTCGCCTTGGATACTCACTGCTGAGAATAGACTTGTCTTTAATCAGAAAGCATCACGGTGAGAAATTTGTTCACATAGTTTATCTTAAGTAGGACTAAGGGAAACTAGTTATTTAACTTGGTACGCTTCAAAAAAAAGTAGTAGTACATATAACTTCGTATTATCATTTTGTAACTGCAATTACTCCGCTTTCAAACATTTCGTAAGTATGTAATTTATTGTTGACACAGGGGAATGCAAAAATCCTCGACTACTCTTCTAATTATGGTTAGCAGTTTTAGAATACATCCTAATTTCACTCCTTACAACATGAAATGTGATATCTATGCGTTGGCATACTGTATCCAGTTCTGTTGAATCGAATACTTAATGGATTTTTTCTCATATGGTATAATTCATCTAACTGGACACCGTGTTTCAGAAAGAAGGAACTTGTGATGAACAGCCAAAATTTTTTTTTCAAGGATATAAATCAAAATAGTAGCCTTAAATTAACTGCATTCCTTCCGTTATTGTTCTACAGTTGTGAATATTAAGGAAGTATACAGCTGCCAATAAGAATCGAGGGTTATTTTAATTTGCAGAGATCTATAACCCTGCATACTACGTCGCCTTTACGACCGTACAAGTTTATTAATATAGCGGAGTAAAACATAGGCACTTTGGTCAATTGTAATCCCATTTTAGTCTGTTTATTAGAAATTATTAAAAGTCGACAGGGGATCTGATATGCCGTATAAAGCTGTCTCTTGGTGAGTCAAAATGGTTCAATTTAATTCCAAAAACTAACAATAATCCCAGTAGAATGTATGGTACTATTAAGATACGTAAGCCAGGTTATCCCATCAGGCCTATAGTAGATTTTAGAAACACTCCGACTTACGAATTGTCTAAATATTTAGTTATACCCAATAAGAAATCGCTCAAGATCTCGACTTACCAACTCTTATGACATTAAAGCACAGATTAGACGACAGTGAAAAAAATGGTTAGTTTTGACATAACTAGCCTTTACACAAATATACCGATTGACATGGCTCTAGAGGCAGTTAGAAGTGGACTGATAAAGAGCTTACGCATTTAACTAAGGTTTCGATCGAGGAAATCGTGCTGAGAGTACGATTGTGCCTAACATCTACAGTTTTTAAGTTTCAAAATAAGATATAACTGAACAAACAGAAAGTGTTGCCATGGGATCACCAATATCCCCTATCACTGCAGATATATTTATGAATAGTTGGGAATAGATGGCCCTTCAAACATTTAATCCTACTCCAAAGATATGGTCCTTATACGTAGGTGATACGTTTACAGTACTGAAATCGGAACACATCAATAGGTTCTTGGCACATGTGCATCCAGAAGTGATGAAAGTGAACTAGGAATGTTGGATTACAAAATTAAACGAAAACAAGATGGAAGCCTAGGGACTAGTGTCTATAGAAAACCGTCTCACTCAAATCGCTACTTGGGCTCCAAATCATCCCATCTCGTTTCAGTTAAAGTAGGCCTAGTTAAATGCCTAAGTGATAGGGTGAAAAAGCTTACTAGTAGACCAGAAAATCTACGACCAGAAAGAAATTAGACACATCAAGAATACCCCGTGTCTCAATAATTACCCACCAAAATTTACAAATAAATTCATAAGAAATCAAAAGAAAAATAATAGCAGTGGTGGTGGTAGTAGTAGAAATACAGATGTTAGTAATAATAATTCCACTACTGATAGTAATAGTGGTGACAGGGTTGAGAGAGAATTCAAAGCCTTTGCTGTGTTATCCTACAAGGAAGGCATCTCAGAAGCATTATGAAGAATTCTCAATAAGACTGGCCGGGATTAAAGTGGCTGGCCTTTGAACCAACAAACTCATTTGGAAACAAGCTTTTTTTTAGGTTAAAAGATCCTATCGATGCAATTAAACGAAATAATCTGGTTTACCAGATCCCTTGCAATGATTCTGAGGTCAAATTGCATAGGTCAAAGTAATCGACTAGTCTAGGGTCGATTAGAATTAAAGAGGACAAAAACTCAGCTAACTCAAGATTAGTAGATCGTAATAAGATGAGAAGTTTAAAGAAAAGCTCGGATATAGCTCTGCACGAGGCTACACACAATCACACAGTAGGGTAGGATAGAGCAACAGTAATAAAAACTTAAATGGGTGGGTGGAAGGAGGGATTGATAACCGAATCTCTGGTTATCCAGTCAACACCGAATACATGCAGTAACAGAAATGATTCTGCACCTGTCCCAGATATATGGAAAATTTTACTACCCTTGTCATCACAGAGAAGGAGAGAAAATTAGGGACTAAATAAACTCTATTTGCAAGTTGTGGAGTTACCTGCTGATGGGAATATAGACAATAAATTGTGTTCAAAACGTGGTTATCCAGTAAATGATGCTGTTCTTTCTTCACTATGTGTGACATTTCTAATAAACAGACTAAAAATGGATATACAAGTTATTGGTGTCACAAATGGAGGGAAGCCATTTAACTTCTGGAATTTGCCAGAATGTCTTACTCTTTAATAATTCGGTATACCATACCCTGGTTGTAATTGAACTAGATTTCTCTAAAGAATTTAAATTCCCGCTTATATTAAGTAAGCATTTATGCTATCGTTTATTTGGAGTAACACTGAAACCATGCAGTAAAATCACCCTCATTCAGTGATAAATTTTGCACCATTTTGACCGTTTCAGCTGTATATTACAACCACCTATTTTTAATTATTTTGTCTTCAGTCTCTAAATATCCACATCTTTAACTTTTTAGATTTTTTTTCATTAAACTCATATCTACTTCATTGTAAACAATACTCAGTGTTCAGGTTGGTATTCATCATGGGCTGACATCAGTAGGAGGAACATTGGAAACCTGGGAACACTAGGCAGTTGTTTCGTCCTAGTATGGGATTGCTCGGCAGGGCGCACCTATGACCCTGCCATGGATCGGACCCAGAACCTTCAAGTCTCATAGCCAGCACGCTGCCATTGAGCCACTGGATGGCAATCCAATGATCCATATTTCCTACTTCTGTCACCATGAGATAGCGCGACCTCCATCCATTGTCATCGTTGAGTAACTGTCGTCATGTTCGATTTGCTTGGCCCCTCTGGTCGCGACTTGTCGTTAGAACTTCAAGAATCTCCTTTCAACCCATTGGCTCAATAGTAACTTGCTGGCGACGAAGCCTGGAGGTGCTGCGTTCGATTCCTGCTGGGGTCATGGGTGCTCACTGCTGAGGAGTCTCATGCCAGGACGAAACAGCTGTCCAATGCTTCGAGGTTTCAACTGATGTCAGTCCATGGTGAGTACCAACGTGAAGTCAATAAATCCCCACAAAACCGTAAAATTGAATATTCAATGTCTTGTTCTAACTTCTATGGTAATACATCCACCCTACTTCTACTGTTGCTAACACGACATATTTTGAAATGGGTGGTAACAAGAGTGTAAAGGATTTATCTCTATGTCATATTGTCTCTTGGCTGATCCAGACCGAGGAAAGTCATTTCCTGCTTTCAACCTCAACATTTCACGTGTACGATACAAGAATTCTTGGCATGTCTTTCCGTTCAACTACTTTATCCTTTATTCCTAAGGCAGGTAGGTAGTTGTCAGTGTAGATCGGATTTGGAGAAACAAAAAACAAAGCGAAACGCGTTCAGCCACTTTGTGTGCACTCGTGCAGTAGGCAGAGTGAGCAACAGCTATTGTGTGAAGGCTAGTGATACTATCCAGCTGCCTGCCTAAACCGCGCTAGGTGGGACAGGGCTCCAAACTAACATCCAATAATCGTCCGTCATCTCCCTAAACCTTAGAGCCACAGCTCTACAAGATTTGAAGAATTTTTCTTCTCTTTCGCATACTTTCTCTGAAAATGTGTTCAGTAGACACTGTCTCTGGTCAGTAACTTCTCACCTTCCAAGTTTATGTTGTTTATTCAAGCTGTAAACCCAAGGAATTGTGCATGAAACTTAAAGGAAGTAACCTCCTTCACCTATCCAGGCAAGGCAGCACTGTTTCAACTACAGGCGGCACAGACGAGGATGTCAAAGTCAGAATCAAAAGCAAGACAGACGTTCATTAGCCTGAAACCAGTGTGGAGATCTTCTGCACTCAGCATGTGGAACAAGATACGGATTTTCAACACCAACGTCAAGTCAGTACTCCTGTATGGCTCAGAGACTTGGCGCGTCACGAAAGGGATTTCCAATAAATACAGACATTCATCAAAAACTGCTTACGCTGGCTCGCTACTGAAGATCAGATGGATTGCCAGAATAATAAGAATAAGCAACAAGGAACTCTGGGAACGAACCAACGAAGCAAGAACCTATCACGCAACAAATATGCACTGGAAGGAAGTGGAGATGGATTGGGCATACACTGAGAAGGTCGACTGGGGACATGACGTGTCAGGCCAGGCCGTCGAGTGGAACCCCCATGGGAAACGACGAGTTGGGTGTCCGTGGTGAGGGTGACATGGAGATCGTGCGAGGAGGAAATGAGAGCTTGTGGGCTGTCGTGGAACCAGGTTGAAAAGATTTCAGAGAAAAGAGTAGAATGGAGACGTGCTAGTGAGGCCCTATGTTCCATTAGGAACCCAAGGGACTAATAATAATAATAATAATAATGTAAACAAGAAAGGTAAACAACCCCACATGGTGAAAATTAATCGTAGTTATGAAATAAGATCGTTCAGTGTTCACTTGGTTGTAGATGTAAAGAAGACGAAGGCAGAAATAAACCACATAATCAAGGCGATTATGTCACATCGATTAATTATAGTGAAATGAGGAGATGACCAGTAAGGTGATTGAATATATCTTTTCTGCATATACAGATCAGGTTTAGTTCAGTGAATCCTCACTGCCGTTTCTGTATACATGATTCGATAGTGTCCTATTCGAGGTTGTAGATAATGTTGGAAGAAGAGCCTTAAAGAAAATTATAAACAAAGTTAGTCAAAAGTGTTCTAGAATTGAGCTGTTGATTGATTCCTATTTTACTTATCAATCATCATACAGAGTAATATTTGTAAATGCATCTAGTAACCGCATATTTTGTTTGACCTATATGAGTACCAATGCCGGAGCAACAAATAAGCTTGTTCTTAACACATTTTGGAATTATTTGCTCATCTCATCACCTCCATCTTCTCTACGTTCAATTGAAGTCCCGTCTTCCTTCGCTGCTTCACTTCTTCTATCAACTTGTTGATAGATTTCTTCCTCACACGATCTCCTTCAAGTCACTCTCAGCTGGGGTGCCCAACTCATCATTTCCCATTTGGGTTCCATTCGACAACCTTGAGCTTGATGTCCCCAAACGATCTTCTCAGTGTATGCTCAATCCAATCCATCTCCACTTTCTTCTACTGCATACTTTTCGGGCGATAGGTTATCCGTTGGTTTATTGACGGCCAGCCAGAGTTCCTTGTTGTTTATTTTTACTATTACGACCATCTGATCTTCAGTATTCAGTAAGCGTATGCGGCGGCTATTGATCATGTATGCCTGTAGTTTGTTGGAAATGCTTTTCGTAACGCGTCAAGTCTCTCAACCATGACATAGAAGCACAGACTTGACTGACACTAGTGGTGGAAATCCGTATCTTGTTCATGCTTTATGCTGAGTGCAGTGCAGTAGATTTCCACACTGATCTCAGGTTATTGAAGGTTTATCTTGCTATCTTTCCGGTCCTGGCTTGGCTTTAACATCCTCATCTTTGTCGCCGCCAACTGTAGTTGAAACGATGTTGCCTAAGTGTTAGGTGAAAGAGACTACTTCCTTTAGGTTTCTCCCGTTGATGGTAATTGGTGCTTGTTGTTGTTATTGGTTGGGTATCTTCATCACCTCCATCTTCTCTACGTTCAATTGAAGTCCCGTCTTCCTTCGCTGCTTCACTTCTTCTATCAACTTTTTGGTTTTCGCCTGTAAATCTTCGAGTTTGTACGTGCATCTTATAGATGACTCGTTTTCACCCCCCCTAGACATAGCTTCTTATTCCATTCTTTAAAGCTGTTGTAATAACACAACACTGTTACTCTATTACTCCATAATAAACTGAAATATGTTTGGGATATATTCAATTTCGAGGATTGTTCAGCTTTAGGAAAATCAAATTGTTGAAAATGAAAATTCGTTTCATTGAAATGTTTTTGATTTTTTTGAGAAAAATTGATAAACATAATTGAGGCACACGATTAGACGGTTAAACTAAGCTCAAAACCGTGGTTATATTCCTGGGTAGTTGATAGATAGCTAAGGACTACATAACTCACTTCCTATCTCATTCTAGACTTGTCAGATGGATGCACCTGCATCCCGTTATGCAGTAATGTCTGGTCCTAGATTGATCTGGATGGATGTACCTGCATCCCGATGAGCGATAATATCGCCACTCGGACTCGAACATGGAGCCTAGTTTTCTCAAAGACAAACCTGCTGATGTGTATGAGAGATAACTCTTTGTTGATAATTGTAATCTACCGTAGCTGGGACCTTGACTGACAATCCGATGTATGCTGGTTAAATAACAAAAGATCGAATGCACAATTCCTTGGGTTTACAGCTTGAATAAACAACATAAACTTGGAAGGTGAGAAGTTACTGACCAGAGACAGTGTCTACTGAACACACCTTCAGAGAAAGTATGCGAAAGAGAAGAAAAATTCTTCAAATCTTGTAGAGCTGTGGCTCTAAGGTTTTAGGGAGATGACGGACGATTATTGGATGTTAGTTTGGAGCCCTGTCCCACCTAGCGCGGTTTAGGCAGGCAGCTGGATAGTATCACTAGCCTTCACACAATAGCTGTTGCTCACTCTGCCTACTGCACGAGTGCACACATTATCCATATATCTTTCACATTGATTAGAATTACAAGTTGTCGAGTGTAGTTTTTTAAATTATAGCAGTCAGTTGAATAGATGGTAAGTGGTGACCTCATATTCTTTCGCGTAATAATCTATACTACTTATGAGTAGGTACAATTTAAATAGGATATATGTAGTTGCGAACTTTATTTCTTCATTGCCAGAGATAGATTGTCAATCTTCCTATTGAGTTAAAAGTGTATCATCTTAACTTCAGTATCAGACTAGTTCGCAAACAAGATCCTTAATCTGTATAAAATGAATTGTGAATGTATGTATGTATGTATATGTGCATGTTGTACCTCGTTTAGTTATGTTCAGGAACAGTTATCGTTGTTTCGTCTCATATATGAATTGTATTCAGTAATCTGAATCGATCAGTTTCTGCACAGTAAGCCAATTTAACTGCAAATTGTATGTCTTCTTATAGTAATGAGTATTCTATGAAAAGGTGAAGCTATTCCTCAGTGGATTACATCGAGGTTTAAGTACATTGTAACTATTTGATTTCATTTAGTAATCACACAGTGAATATAGATAATGTGAAGCTGTGGCTTGTTGGTTTGTGGAGATGATTTTCAACCGATGGGTCACGGGTTCGAACCCCACCTGTGATGGTTTGGGCAGCCAGGTCGTATCAATAATAGGCCTCACAAGCAATAGGTGTGTGACTCATTACCTTTTGCAAAAGGTTACCGAGTGAAAACTAGTTTAGGTGATAATGACTATTGAACTCACTTTTATACCATAATCTGCGTATAACTTTCCAATTGGACAGGATTCAACGTTATCTGATCAACTCTCTCAACCTATTGATCATTTTACCAACAGTGAAAGTGAAGGAGTTGGTGACAAGTCATCAAATTCTTCAACAGTAATGCTTAATCCAATAGGCCAATGTGATGAAAGCTTTCGTCAGCGACAATCAGATGTTTTCGCTGCTTTAGCCAATTTGGAAGCAGCTCATCTTGAAGTGTATAAGGCTACAAAAGAAGAACGTAAAGCTGTACGTAAAGCAGCTTGGCGGCATACAGTTACAGCACCAGAAAATCTAGCTGAACAAAAGAACGTGTAAGTTTTTGGTTTCTTCTTCTCTATCTGTTTTACTCTCCGGTTTTAATGTGGACTTAGTGATTACCTATGTGCGTTCTTGAATATATTTTACTGTTGGTTTTCTGGTCATCTTTATGGCTTTGATGTGTTCCAATCGTTATAAAAATATTTGTTGACGATTGATAAAACTAAACTCAGGGTCAGTAATATCATAGAGTCAGTTCAAGTTGCCACACCACACATTACTGTTATTATTATTATTATTATTATTATTATTATTATTAGTCTCTTAGGTTCCTAGTGGAACATACGGCCCCACTAGCAGCTCGCCATTTCACTCTCTACTCTCCAGTCTTTTCAATGTGGTTCCACAACTGCCCGGAAGCTTTCATTTCTTCCTGACACATTCTCCTTCATGTCACCATGGAATGCCCAACTCGTTGTTTCCCATTCGGCTTCCACTCTAGGGCCTGGTCTGATGCGTGATGTCCCTAAATGGCCTTTTCAGTATATTCCCAATCCAATCCATCTCCACTTTCTTCTACTGCATATTTTTTGGGCGATAGGTTGTTGGTTAGTTCGTTGCTAGGTCAGAGTGAGTTCCTTGTTTATTCTTATCCTTTCTGGCCATCTAATCTTCAGTATCGAGGTAGCGTAGGTGACAGCTGTTGATTATGTATGTCTGTAGTTTGTAGGAAATGCTTTTCGTAACGCGTCAAGTCTCTCACCCATCACATAGAACCACTGACTTAACTGACACTAGTGTTGGAAATCCCGATCTCATTCACGCTTTATGCTGAGTGGACTGCAGGGGAGTGGAGTGCAGTAGATCTCCATATTAATTACTTTAGATTGATGAGGGCCTGTTTTGCTGTCTTTCCGACCCTGGCGTTGACAACCTCATGTGTGCCGCCCCCGCCACCTATAGTGGAGACGATGCTGCCTTGCCTAGGTGGTAGGTGAGAGAGACAACTTCGTTTAGACTTCTCTCGTTGATGGTGACTGATGTTTGTTGTTGTTGGTGGTTGGGTATCTTCATCACTTTTGTCTTCTCTACATCCACTTGGTTTTTGCCTGTAGATCTTCGAGTTTGTGCGACATTAGGCATAAATCATCATCGGCGAAATCCAAATCTTCTTCTGAGGTATTTTCATCGGTGCAGCCGGCGTATGGTCATTTTCTCGCTCCTCACAGCTTGTTGCATGATCCAGTCCAGTTGAGTCGATCACAATCATCGGTGATAGATAGTTGATAACCTTGTCTTACTCTTGTCTTCACTTCAAAGGCATCACTGAGCTTTTCATTGTAAATCATTTGGCATGAAGCATATAGCTGCTGTTGAATGAGGTTGTTAAAGGTTTGTGGCACTCCGTAGCTTTGAACCAGCTCTGAATAGGTAGGTTCATTTACTAGTGGCTAGGTTGAGGATCGGAACACTGGTCAGAAATTGATTTTGTTTTATCTATCTGAATGTAACATATAGAATGTCTACACGCGCTTCAATATGAATCTAATCATTGGTACATCTTAGAGAAACTTGTTTTGCATTTTCTCTACTGTAAGGAAGTTGATGGCTAAAAACGGTTTTTGATTAAGCATGGCAAGCAATACACTTAGTGTCAGTTATGTGAGCTGTCAAAAAACTGATGAATAGTGAATATTAGTCAAAATAAGTTTGGACAGGGAGTTTCATAACACAATGACGATATAATTGGAAAGTGAATTGCGATTAGGCAGAGCATAGGAATAAGTAGTAAATTTCTTGTGTAGTGAATAGTGTCAAAAACAGAAAAATCAAAAGAAAAGGTGGACAGGGGAAGTAGAGGAGATTTCAATGACTGAAAACTAAGACGATGAAAGGAGAAGGGTTTGAACAATCATATGGATAAGAAAAGCTTCGACGATACAGAGAATATGAAGAGTTACAGCCTTTGGAAGGTTTCTTTTCACTTTGTAGATGACTTTAAACGAGTAGGTTCTTGAGATAGGGTGATTTGTGTTCACGTTGTGTTCAATTAATGCGCTTTTTGTCGCTTCATTGTCATCTCTTTGTAACGACATGGTGTAGCATTTCTTGGACCCTTTTGGATAACAGGTGCATCGAACTACCTGACTCTCTACAAGATCAAGTGAATTGATATATACATATAGAAGTAATTTACTACTCATTCTTGTTGCTTCATCACAATTCAGTTTGTAACCTTCATGTTCAAACTTATTTTGATTTAATATTCACTATTCATCAAGTTTTCAGGTTTTTGGATTTTAATGATAGGTCATATCAGTGATACTATTTGTGTTGCCCGCTATGCTTGATGAAAAACTGTTTTTAACTTTGGAATCTTTACACTAGAAAAATGTATAGATATGTGGTTGTGTACGGGTTTGAGAATGAAATTATCCATCCATCCAGATTAACTTAGGACCAGGCATTACTGCGTAACGGTCCGAGTTGCCACACCTCATCTCAGTACATCATAGCTGCTACCTTGACGTGGTGGTCGGGCTTGCATATCACAATGACCCAACGAACTATGCTGGTGGGAAACTTCTTCCTCGGGGGTCCTACCATACCACAAAGCTCTGTTGGATAGTGGTTAGACGAAAAGCAGCTACCGTTGTGGTGTAAATTACTACACTATTATGGGGATCTAAGGGCGAAGTCGTACTGCTGCCAGCTGGATAGGGTGTGACAGTAGTAAGGTAATTCCCTTGGATGACCTTCAGTGCCATCCTGATGCTGCCTTCTCAGTGGAGGGCCGGGGTTAGAAAATGTCGGCCCCAAAAATAACACACTTCACCATGACTCACGGTCTGCTGGGCCGGCGGTGTTGGTTCACTTGTCGTTTCCTTTCGACCATCCGGCTCCAAAAATACAAAAGTTCGAAATGATCATACTCAAAAGGCTTCGTGTGACAGGCCTCAAGCAGATGTCCGATGGGTTCTGCGGTCACACAAATCTCTTTCAGGTACCTTAAGAAGAAATAACCTTCCACGGTGTCGGCAGCCGGGAAGTATCAATCGCTCTCACAACTCTGTCAGCACTCGAGTTTCTTCAGACTACTATACACCTCCCTCCTCATTACCTCCTAATCCTTTTTCACGTCTCCCAATTAACAATACTACATCATCTTCAATTTCTCCTAGTTCTACAGCCTTTGACAACGATCTGAGTTCACAGAACAGCATCACTGGTCTCCTTAAACCACACTCGAAATTACATATTACAGCCTTCAATGTCCGCACCCTCCGTCAAGTTGGTCAACAGGTTTCGTTAGCAAAGACTCAAGCAACTCGGGCCATGGATGTGTGTTGTGTTTGTGAGACACGCACACAGGACCCAAGTGTGGTTTTTCATTGACCTCTCCTGACCAATCTGGTGAATCCGCAAAATCCACCCTCCGAGTTTCTGGAGATTCGATAGCTAGCTCTCATGGTCTTGCAGGTGTAGGCATAGCATTAAGCACTAGGGCAGAAAACTCACTACTAGACTGGATCCCAGTTGATAGTCGCCTCTGCGCAACGAGGCTGAACGGCACAGTAAGAACTGAAAGGAATAGTGAGACTCGCCGTTGTCTCTTTGTAATCTCTGCTTACGCACCCACTGACTGTAGTTCGGATGAAGTGAAGGACGAGTTCTACCATAAACTGTCTAACCTCCTCTCGAAAGCCAAACGTTCGGACATGGTGGTTGTTGCAGGTGACCTCAACGCACAGGTGGGTAGACTGAGTGAGGCAGAAAGGCACTTAGGTGGCACTTTCGGAGTCCCGGCTGATCGAACAGATAACGGTGATCGCCTATTACAACTATGCTCAGATAATCGCCTATTTTTAGCCAGCATGAGAATGAAATCGGTGAAAAGAGACTTTTTGCTGAAATACTCACTTGTTCTTCTTTCAAAGATGAATTATATTAATCTTGATATATTTGTAAAGTGTAATACGGATACGGAGGTTATCTGAGAAATGTGATGTGTATTCGCGTAATACATTTCGAACAATCTGATCACACACACACACACATACACATTTACTTGTCACAAAGCATCTTATATGAAGGATGAAAATACCGCTGGTAAGATAAGATAAATTTGATTTTGGAAATATAGGGACAATTAGGAGGAGGCATAACACATTTTCACACCTCCAGGGTATTAAAAATTCCCATCATGTAAATTAAAACAAGACACATATAGACAAACAGTATGGCTTTCAATTAGATCCTCTTCAGGCTTAACCAATCATGTAGATTTTTCGGTTAATGTGATAAATGTTTAATATAACGGTGGAGATAATCATACACATAATAATAATGATATTGATAAAAGTGATAACGTTGACTAAAGTATATCCAATATAGACGATGGTAATGATGATGATAAGAACCAAGAAAGCAGCACTCCGATAATCAGAGTCAAAAGCTGCCTTGGGAAAATAAAAGTTACGTAATACTGAAGGACGAGATAACTGAATCAACAAAGCCTAGACAAATACAGTAAGTATACGAAACAGGATGAAGAATAAGAAAAGGAGTAGGAAAAATAATAATAACTGAATGATAAAGTTATTAACTAAGTATTCCCTGGCCAATGGAGAGATAAGGAGTGTACAAATTTCGTATGGATACAAAGACTAGGATTATTAGCTCGAATTCCCATAGCTTCTACTATGTGTAGAAGACGAGTTTGAATACCTTTCGAAAGATGAGATGGTATGCGGTGATTAATCATGAAAGCAATGTTCTTATCTACTAAGTGACCACTATCAACGAGGTGAGATAAAATCGAACTTCTGATGGATTCTGTCTGTCTCTTTGCCAACTATGAAGGTAGATGCTCATCAACACGTTTGTTAAGTTGTCTACTAGTACGCCCTATATAGATTTAAATCAGTTGGAGGAACAAGGAAAACCTGGGAGCACTTGACAGCTGTCTCGTCACAGTCTGGGACTCCTCAGCAGTGCGTACCCACGATCCCGCCAGGGGTCGAACCCGAGACCTTCAGGTCCCATGGCCAGCACGTTACCATTGAGCCACTGGCTCAGCGGAATCCAATGGTCCATATTTCCAACTTCTATTAGCTCACAATATAGTGCAACCGCCACCCAATGTCATCGTTGAGTAACTGTCCTCACGACCATCAGGCTTTGCCCTGAAGAGGATCTAATTGAAAATAATATTGTTCGCCTATATCTCTTGTTCTAACCTCCAGGGTAGGCTTGAAGTCAGGACAAACTATTTTCGAATACACAAAGGGGGGTTGAAATCTGGTATAGCTAAGGCTTCAAGGAACCTAGTTATACGAACTTGACAGCTCGTATACACTGGTCTAAAGGCTGTTTTACCACTAATCCTGTGACATTTTTCTATAATGTCCTTACCTACGCCTGTCCCCCCCTCCCTCACCCGTATTTATCGGATTATTTGATTGTAATTGTTTTCCTAACCATTAAGGGATATGTAGTATGCAATTGTTTTTATATCGTACCGTCGTTGATTGGACCGAACTGATCAGTCTCTGTTGGCGTATGGGATCCTGTGCGGATGCCTCGATATTACCTGTGCTCTTATGATAGTAATGATGGGTAGTGGCTAGCAGTGGAATCCAGGATTCGCATTTCGTCCTATTTGGTAGTCGTCAGGTGGATGTACCTGCCTCCCAGTGAGTGTTGTTCCCACTGGGATTCGGACTCGGGAAGGATCGTTTCAAACGCCAGAGCTTTATCCACTACACTACCGAGCCACGATAGCCACTTCTTGTGTGACGGGTATAATTTTTAGTATAACTGTTTTTATATCATTACACTGCTGGCCACTATCCATCATTACCATTTAGGGATTGCTGTACCAATACCCTCGATTTCATAGTTCGATTACTCCTCCTCCTCCTAATGTTTATGTCACCACACGCACACACATAGACATACGTGTAGACTGGTATGCACAGAGAGATATGATGTAATCATTTGTGGTGTGATGAGGTTTATTCCAAGCATTAGGTTTCGTTTTCTAGATAATATTGAGCATATAGAAACTTATTAGTTGAATAGATAGAATCGTTTTTGGATTGTATTCGATTCTGACCCAGTGGCTCAATGGTAACGTGCTGGCCGTGGAACCTCAAGGTCGCTGTTTCGGTCGCTAGCGGCGTCGTGGGTGCGCACTGCTGAGGAGTCCCATACTAGGACGAAACAGCTATCCAGTGCTCCCAGGTTTCCTTTGTTCCTCCAACTGATGTCAGTCTACGATAAATAACAACTTGAAATATTTCCAAATCCCCACAACTCCCTCAAAATTCGATTGAACTGGTTCTTATTGGTGATTAGCTTCGAGAGGTATTCCCCGAAGTTCCAATGAGAAGTCGTGACCATTGAGGAGCAAAGCCTGATGGTCATAAGAACAGTTACTCAACAATAACATTGTATAGCGGTTGCACTATATCGTTGTCGTTTATCAATTACTTTTTTTTTTGTATAGCGTAAGATCACTCCAATGATAGATGATAAAGAGAAAATCAATATGAATACAGAAAATTCTACTTTTCGTAAACCTATCAATCGTCCACCATATCGTCGATTAAATCCTATACTTCGAGATCCTAATAAATGGACACATTATAGTTTAGCTGATGTTGAAGAAGATGCACCAATTTCAAGAGAATCACATTATGAAAGTGTTCGGGGTGATCCAAATAGTTCAATAGCTGTTACTTTGATAAATGAGCTACGAGAACGTCGAAATAATTTGAAAACTTCATCAGATGATAATATTAATGATTTACATCAAAATAATAATAATAATAATAGTAATAGTAATAATAATAATAATCGAATATTATTTCGTCCTACTCATGGTAAGAAAAGAGCACGTCTTATTGAAGAAAATACACTGAAATCTAATATTCATCTAGATAATCTTTGTATTTCAAATGTTGATGATGATTTATCAGAGAATCTATTGTCATCAATTAATAACAATATTAATCAATCATCTGATAATGATCAAATAATCATTGTAAATCGACATCATAAAGGTCAACTACGTAATCGATATTCTGATAATCAATTAGAAATCAATGAATCAATTGATCAATCAGATGAAATAGATAATTCTATTGAAATAGAATATGAAGATATAATTGAAGAAGATGTTATCAATTCAGATGAAATTGAAGAAGATCCTGAAGATGATAAGACAAATGATTATTTTACATAATTTTATGAAAAAAAAACAAAAACAAACTTTTTTTAATATAACTTTTAATCTTTTGTTGAATAAAAACAGTTTGTTTGTTTATTCTGAATAATAAAAAGGTGAAGTCAGATGAAGAACCATTTCCTGACGACTATCTCTAACTAATGATTTTACTCTACCTTTGTATAAGCTTTTCATCAATGGAAACACTATAGGGCTTGATCCGGCACGTGATGTCCCCGAATGGCCTTCTCAGTGTATGTTCAATTCAATCCATTTCCACTAACAAGTTGGCAGAAGGGGTGAGGCAGCGAAGGAAGATGAGACTTTCTTCAGGTGAACGTAGAGAAGACAGAGGTGATGAAGATACCCAACCACCAACAACAACAAACATCAGTCACCATCAACGAGAGAAGTTTAAACGAAGTTGTCTCTCTCACCTACCACCTATGCAAGGCAGCATCGTCTCCACTATAGGTGGCGGGGGCGGCACACATGAGGTTGTCAACGCCAGGGTCGGAAAGACAGCAAAACAGGCCCTCATCAATCTAAAGTAATTAATATGGAGATCTACTGCACTCCACTCCCCTGCAGTCCACTCAGCATAAAGCGTGAATGAGATCGGGATTTCCAACACTAGTGTCAGTTAAGTCAGTGGTTCTATGTGATGGGTGAGAGACTTGACGCGTTACGAAAAGCATTTCCTACAAACTACAGACATACATAATCAACAGCTGTCACCTACGCTACCTCGATACTGAAGATTAGATGGCCAGAAAGGATAAGAATAAACAAGGAACTCACTTTGACCTGGCAATGAACCAGCGGAGAACTTATCGCCCAACAAATACGCAATAGAAGGAAAAGGAAATGGATTGGACATACACAGAGATGACTATTTGGAGACGTCAAACGCCAGGTCGTCGAGTGGAAGCCAAATGGGAAACGATGAGTTTGGTGTGTCAGCTGAGGGTGACATGGAGGAGCTCGTGTATGGAAGAAATGAAAGCTTTTCAGCAGTCGTGGAGCCAGGTTGAAAAGACTGGAGAGTAGAGAGTGAAATGGCGAGCTGCTAGTGGGGCCGTATGTTCCACTAGGAACCCAAAAGACAAATAATAATAACAAAAAAGTATACTGCACTGGAGTATGTTCTGTCCTGTTACACGACTGTGAGGCATGACCGTTGAAAGTGGAAGACATGAAACGTTTGTAGGGTTTTTATCATAGGTGTCTTCATAGCATTGTTCACGTTTGGTGAAATCTCCGTGTGAGCAATGCTGTGATCAGGCGAAGGATTCTAGTCACCCCAAAGAAGTTGACTAAGATGGCTTGAACATGTACTGTGTATGCCGATCCACTGCCTGTCTGGATATTGGACTTGGTTGGAAACGGGTAAGCAAACGAAGACATCACACTAATCGATGAATTATCTAACTGTTAGCCTGAGTTATGTGGTGGCAATGCAGACCGAGATCAATCAATCAATCATTATCAACATAGGACCAGGCATTACTGCGTAACGGTCCGAGTTGCCACACCTCATATCAGCACATCAAGTAAAAAGGTAGTGAGGTGAAGGATGAAGATAAGTGAATGCAGTCAAAAGAAATATAAAGTACGAGAAGAAAGGAAAGAGGAGTGACAAAATAGTGAGATTCGGTATAGCGTTGTTAAGATGAGGATAATGTGTGTATACATCTGCGCCACTGACTTCGGTTCTGAGCCATATCACCTAGGGTCTCCAACCACTGGTTCCTCTTGTCCCGTGGACCCCAACCACCTAGTCTGCATCGTCCTACATGGCTTAAACCAACAGTCAGAGACTTCATACATTGGTGCCATGTTTTAGTCTGGCCACCTCGGGCCTTTTTCCAGCCTGAACCCACCTCAGCCAACATTGTGTGACGAGGCAATCGGTGACTAGGCATACGTAGTACGTGTCCCAACCATCTCAGTCGATGAAGGTTCACAACCTCGTCGACTGACTTACCTCTTCTCCCTAAAACTCTACACCTAACTTCTGCATTACTCACATGGTGACACCACGGAATACGTCCTATACTACGAAGGCAACGGTGGTCAAACACTTGAACCTTCTCATGTCTTCCACTTTCAATGGCCATGTTTCACAGCCATACAGTAGAACAGAGCGGACTGCTGTGCAGTACACGCGACCCTTAATAGACAAACGAATATCACGGCGGCGCCATAGGTGGCGCAAATTGGCAAAAGCCAATCGAGCCTTTTGTATCCGTGCAGAAATCTCATCGGCAACTAACCCACCAGGGTTGATCCTACTTCCCAGGTAAGTGAAGTGGTCAACACACTCAACCACTTCACTCTCTATTGTTAACCGCGGTACCGCTGAAGACCAGTCCTGGAGCAAAAATTTGCATTTGGGTGGTGAAAATCGCATCCCAAACATTCTCAAATTCCCACTCAAAGTGTTCAGAAGACTCTGCATCTTGTCAGCGTCTTCACCTAACAGGACTATGTCATCTGCATATTCTAGATCTAAGGAAAATTCACCTGTGATCCGGTCAACGTCTTTGTAATTAGGTGACGAGAGGGAAACCTCCATAAGAATATCTATGATAAAATTAAATAAGAATGGGGATAGTGGGCATCCTTGACGGACACCACTTGATGAGTATAGCTCCCTGGACAACTCGACATGCCCACAAGTGTTCGAGTAGAGAGCTTTCAATAAGGTGATGTACTTACTAGGCACGCCTTTCAGTGACAGACACTGCCATAAGACTTCTCGATCAACGGAGTCAAATGCCGCCTTCAGGTCGAGAAATACAGCTATTGTCGGGCGTCTGTAAGCATGCCTATGTTCCAGGACCTGGCGCAGTGTGAATATTTGGTCGATACATCCACGGCCAGGTCTAAAGCCTGCCTGGTTTTCTCGGGCTTGCTGTTCCCGAGCTCCACTCAGGCGTCGGAGAATTATAGAACTTAGGATCTTAGACACTATGTTTGTCAGGCTGATTCCTCTGTGGTTATCACAAGAGGACTTCTCGCCTTTCTTGAAGACTGGGATGATGAGTGACTTAGACCAGTCGGAGGGGATCGTATTTGATTCCCATATACTGGCTAACACTTCCGTTAGCCTGACTAAGAGAACTCTACCACCATTCTTGTATACCTCAGCAGGTAGTCCGTCTGGTCCTGCTGCCCTTCCCGTTTCAGGCTACCTACCGCTTTCTCAACTTCTTCTAGTGTTGGGGGACCTGTCTCTATGTCCCATTCAGGGTCCGACTGGATAGCGGGCAGCGCAATGGTGGCTGGAGGCCAGTTAAACTGTTCCTCAAAGTGTTCTGCCCATCGTCCCAGTCGCCTTCCCTGCGAGTGAATCGCCGATCCGTCCTTCTCCGCTATAACCTCACTAACTGTTGTTGACCATTTCCCCCCAGTCTCCTTAATAAGTCTAAATAACTGTCTACTGTTACCGATCGCCGCTGCCTTTTCCATCTCTTTAGCCTTTGCTGCCCACCACTGTTCACGATCGTTGCGCAGACTTTTCGTCAGTTTATTTTTAAGTTGCGCTCGCTCTTCATTGTACTCAGAGCCTGCAGGGATGCATTCCATTAGTTTGGAAGAAGCTGCTGATATCCACTGGCTCTTTTTAGCCATTATCTTGGAGTCGGCTACAGTCTCCAGTGCTGCTTTTACAGTAGACTGAAGATGGCACCAAGCTTCTTCTGGATGAGTGACAGTCTTTTGTTCCGATAACTGCCTAGCCAACTTCTCACTGAACACGGCTTTGGTGTTTTCGTTGTCCAGCAGAACTCGTAGTGGTTTTGTTGCCAAATTTTTTCTACGTCCATTGAGACGCAGGCATATACGTGCTCGGACCAACGCATGATCGCTGTCCAAACACGTACTCCAGAAGGAGCGGCAGTCTTCCACCGATGACTAATAGCAATGTGGTCTATCTGTGTCCATCGCTGAGTTGAGCACGGTGGACAGTGCCTTTCTTTATGTCTGAAATTTGTGCTGGCTAAAAATAGGCGGTTATCTGAGCATAGTTGTAATAGGCGATCACCGTTATCTGTACGTTCAGCTGGGATTCCGAAAGTGCCACCTAAGTGCCTTTCTGCCTCACTCAGTCTACCCACCTGTGCGTTGAGGTCACCTGCAACAACCACTACGTCCGAACGTTTGGCTTTCGAGAGGAGGTTAGACAGTTTATGGTAGAACTCGTCCTTCACTTCATCCGAACTACAGTCAGTGGGTGCGTAAGCAGAGATTACAAAGAGACAACGGCGAGTCTCACTATTCCTTTTAGTTCTCACTGTGCCGTTCAGCCTCATAGCGCAGAGGCGACTATCAACTGGGATCCAGTCTAGTAGTGAGTTTTCTGCCCTGGTGCTTAATGCTATACCTACACCTGCAAGACCTCAAGAAACTCGAAGGGTGAATTTTGCAGATTCACCAGATTGGTCAGGAGAGGTCAGGTGAATAACCACACTTGGGTCCTGTATGCGTGTCTCACAAACACAGCACACATCCATGCCCGAGTTGCTAGAGTCTTTGCTAACGAAGCCTGTTGGCCAATTTGACGGAGGGTGCGGACATTGAAGGCTCCAATATGTAATTTGGAGCGTGGTTTAAGGAGACCAGTGATGCTGTTCTGTGGACTCAGATCGTTGTCGAAGGCTGCAGAGGTAGGAGAAATTGAAGATGATGCAGCATCATTAATTAAGAGACGTGTAGGAAGATTAGAAGGTAATGAGGAGGGAGGTGTATAGCAGTCAGAAGAAACTTGGGTGCTGACAGAGTTGTGAGGGCGGTTGACACTTCCCGGCTGCCCACACCGTGGAAGGCTATTTCTTCTTAAGGTACCTGAAAGAGATTTGTGTGACCGCAGAGCCCATCGGACATCTGCTTGAGGCCTGTCACACGAAGCCTTTTGAGTATGATTATTTAGAACTTTTGTATTTTTGGGGCCGGATGGTCGAAAGGAAACGACAAGTGAACCAACACCGCCGGCCCGGCAGACCGTGAGGCGTGGTGGAGTGTGTTATTTTTGGGGCCGACATTTTCTAACCCCGCCCTCCACTGAGAAGGCAGCATCAGGATGGCACTGCTGGTCATCCAAGGGAATCACCTTACTGCTGTCACACCCCATCCAGCTAACAGCAGTACGACTTCGCCTTCAGACCTCCATCATAGTGTAGTAATTTACACCACAACGGTAACTGTTTTT